ATTATTTTGTTGTCGATGTTTCATGCTGAGGGGGTTATAGAGTTTTCCATTAAGTACAAGTTATCAAATGTTTCCTTTAAATTTAAGGAAAGTTGGGAAAATATAGGAGAAAATAGACCTTTGAGAGATGTGTACATTAGTTGTGACTGGTGTAGTCTGTGAGAGAACTTACACTGTGAGAGAACTTACACTCTGAGAGAACTTACACTGTGAGAGAACTTACACTGTGAGAGAACTTACACTCTGAGAGAACTTACACTGTGAGAGAACTTACACTGTGAGAGAGAACTTACACTGTGAGAGAACTTAGACTGTGAGAGAACTTACACTGTGAGAGAACTTACACTGTGAGAGAACTTACACTGTGAGAGAACTTACACTGTGAGAGAACTTACACTGTGAGAGAACTTACACTGTGAGAGAACTTACACTGTGAGAGAACTTACACTGTGAGAGAACTTACACTCTGAGAGAACTTACACTCTGAGAGAACTTACACTCTGAGAGAACTTACACTGTGAGAGAACTTACACTGTGAGAGAACTTACACTGTGAGAGAACTTACACTGTGAGAGAACTTACACTCTGAGAGAACTTACACTGTGAGAGAACTTACACTCTGAGAGAACTTACACTCTGAGAGAACTTACACTGTGAGAGAACTTACACTGTGAGAGAACTTACACTGTGAGAGAACTTACACTGTGAGAGAACTTACACTGTGAGAGAACTTACACTCTGAGAGAACTTACACTCTGAGAGAACTTACACTGTGAGAGAACTTACACTGTGAGAGAACTTACACTGTGAGAGAACTTACACTGAGAGAACTTACACTGTGAGAGAACTTACACTGTGAGAGAACTTACACTGTGAGAGAACTTACACTGTGAGAGAACTTACACTGTGAGAGAACTTCCCCTCAAGGAAGGTTCCTTGATGTTGGTGAGGGGCTCTTGATTTAGGGAATTGGATCTGTGCTCCAGTTCCCCGAATTAAGCCTGAATGCCTTCCACATCCCCCCCCAGGCGCTGTATAATCCTCCAGGTTTAGCGCTTCCCTCTTGATTGTAATAATAATAATAATAATAATGAGAGAGAACTTACCCTGTGAGAGAATGTTCTGACGGTGGTGAAGAACTTACCCTGTGAGAGAATGTTCTGACGGTGGTGAAGAACTTACCCTGTGAGAGAATGTTACTGACGGTAGTGAAGAACTTACCCTGTGAGAGAATGTTACTGACGGTAGTGAAGAACTTACCCTGTGAGAGAATGTTCTGACGGTGGTGAAGAACTTACCCTGTGAGAGAATGTTCTGACGGTGGTGAAGAACTTACCCTGTGAGAGAATGTTCTGACGGTGGTGAAGAACTTACCCTGTGAGAGAATGTTACTGACGGTAGTGAAGAACTTACCCTGTGAGAGAATGTTACTGACGGTAGTGAAGAACTTACCCTGTGAGAGAATGTTACTGACGGTAGTGAAGAACTTACCCTGTGAGAGAATGTTACCGACGGTAGTGAAGAACTTACCCTGTGAGAGAATGTTACTGACGGTAGTGAAGAACTTACCCTGTGAGAGAATGTTCTGACGGTGGTGAAGAACTTACCCTGTGAGAGAATGTTTTTGACGGTGGATTCTAGCTGAGAGAGAGGAATCCTGCGTTCGACACTGACGTCAGGAGGGAGGGAGACCACCAGTGGTAGCTCCATGGACAGACTTTTCTTCCTGAGGCCGAAGTCACGGGAGAGGAGAAACAATCAAAAGGTGAAATTCATAAAGCAGTATGTTATGTTATACCAGACACCATGAACACAGCAAATGTTATCATGTCTACTTATATATCACGTCTACTTATATATACTTATATATCAGTCAGAGGGTGAGAGTAAGAGAGAGAGTGACGTACATGGGCAGGAGATAACGTAGAGTAAGCACCAAAGAACGATCATTGACGACGCTAGCATAGCAACCACCATTCAATATTATCAGGAAAATTGAAAGATCTCATCTACAGACTAGCTGTAAGTAAGATGAATATATTAACTCACCAACACCACTACTACCACTGAACCACCACCACCACTACAGTACTTAGCTGTAAAGTAAGATGAATGTCATATTTAACTCTACCAAACCACCACCACTACTACCACTACCTACCACCACCCCTACAGGACTAGCTGTCGAGTAAGATGAATATAATAACTCTATACTTGTGTGGTGGTCAACCCACCAATACTAACCACTAACACCACCACCACTACAGACTAGCTGTAAGATAAGATGAATCTATATTAACTCTACCACTCACGCACTACTACCACACCACCACCACCACTACAGGACTACTTGTAAGTAAGATAATATATTAACTCTACCACCTCCACTACTATCCACTACTACCACAAATACCACCACCACTAACTCCAAGATCCTACTACCCGACCAACTAACCACCACCACTACTTACCAACCACAACTACTACCAGCCACTACCACCACCGCACTACCACCACTACTACCGACCACTTTACTGTCTACCTACCACTACTACCACTACCACCACTGCCAGCACCAACAACCACCACCACTACATCACTCACTACTACCACCACTACACACCACCACAACCACCATCACCACTACAACTTACTACTACAACCTACTACCACTACCCCATCCCCACTACCACCACCACTACTACCACCACTAACATCCACCGCAACCACCACTCACTCCTACCACCACTACTACATTACCACCAATACCATCACCACTACTACCGCTTTAACCTACCACAACCATCACCACAACTACCACTACCACCACCACCTGCACCACTACCAACACCACTACTACCACCACCACTAACCATCGACCACTACTACTACTCAATTGTTCCACCTGCCACAACCATCATTCAGACCACTACTACTACAACCACCTAACCACCACCATACCACACTACTATACTACCACCACTACCATCACCAAAACCACCACCACTACTTCCACCACTACCAACACAGTAACCACCACTGCAATACCACCACCACCACAAACTACCACCATCACTACAACCCCATTACTACTACCACCACTATACACCATGTTGCAGAACCCCTGATGGGTCACAATGTATATTATTTATATTATGCTTTTATGTATATAAGTATATTACCTTTTCATAATAATTTTATATTGCTTATAATTTGCGATAATAGCTTGATCATAAATATTTTGCTTTATATTATTATTTACATTAGTTTACTTGTTTGAGTAGGATGTAACGCTCATAAATTAATTATTGCTACATAGTTCAAGATCTTGATTGTCTAACACTGTAATTATCGCTTCATGATGCTCGTTTCCCCTGCCGGCTTCCTGTGTTGCTGGGCAGCACTGTCCACGAGTCTATCACGGATCGAGGGGGTGTACACACCTCGCCTTGAAGTATTCAGTCCTGGTCTAGACTCTGGTGGTTGGACGAATCTTCTTGACAAGACATGTCCTAAATCTCCTTATTGGTCCTTTTTTTCTTGTTGGAAGATCGTACTCTTCTCATTATTGTTTAGGTTCTGTAGGCTCTGTTCACAGAACATTGTATAGACTTATTATGGTGCTTCTGTACCTGAGATTGTGGTCTCATAGACACTCTGAGCAAACTCAGGTCCTAGCTTAAAGCTTCTGAACCTAACTTGTACTGGTATCTTAGTACGTAACACAGTCGGGATTTTCTTATGCTGAACTAGATTCAGTATATGGGAGTTTTGTGACTTTTTGGAGGATCAGATGAGATCCCTACTTAGTGTCCTTATATTACTCCTTGAGCCTGATTCTGTGTCGCAGCTCTGTGTCGCAGATGCAAGTACCGTGTCAAGCGTTGTCAGCGTGCCCGTTACGATGACTCCTGGTTATCTCGTGTTTTCACGTCTCTCTTACGTGCTAGAACTTCAATTTGTGTCATCAACCTATACGATACATCCCTCTAGCGCGAACAATCTGGGCTGAAAACATTATATACTGAGATCAAAAAAATGAAATTTGTGTGCAGCTACCTAGCAAGTTTACTGCGCAGAGGGAATCATAGGCCTGTAGTCCCGTGTGAAAAAAAATAATAATAATTGAACTTTTTCGTGTCCAGAAAGAAAGTCACCTGATAACATTGACGTATACATATGTGTATAGTGTAATACAACAGTGGCTCCCTAGTAAATTTGATGATAAAGGCTAAATGTCATTTGAAAACATGAATTTGTAAATGAAAAGGTGATTAAGCCTATAGAGGCAAGGTGCAGAAGTCGCCAAAACTTAACCACAGTCAGCTTATTTATAATCTTTCCTGGCCTGCTAGTGTACTCGCTACCACCACCACTACCACCACCACTACCACCACCACTACCCACCGACCACTACCACCACCACTACCACACCCCCACCACTAACACTACCACCACCACCACTACCACCACCACTAACATCACCACCACTACTCAACACCACTACCACCACCACTACCACCGACCACTACCACTCACCACTACCACCCCCACCACTACCATTACCACCACCACCACTACCACCACCTCTACCACGCACACTACCACCACCTCTACCTCCACCACTACCACTACCTACCACCTCGTACCGCCCACCACTACCACCCCACCACTACCACTAACGACAACCCACCACTACCCACCACCACTACCACCACCACTACCACCACCCATACCACGTACCAACCACCACTACCACCACCACTCCGCACTACCACCACAACTACCACCACCACTTCCACCACCACTACCACCACCACTACCACCCCCACCACTTACCAACTGACCCACCACCACTACCACCACCACTAACCACCACCACTTACCACCCCCACCACTACCACACCACCACCACTAACCACCACCACTACCACCACCACTACGCCCCACCACTACCACAACCATCCACCACTAACCACCTACCACTACCACTACCACCACTATCCACCACCACTACCAACCACTACCACTACCACCACCACTACCACCACCACTACCACCACCACAACCACTACCACCACCACTAACCACTACACCACCACTACCACCCACCACCATACCATCCACCACACTACCACCAACCACTGCCAACCACCACTACCGAGCAACCACTACCACTACCTACCACCACTAACCGCAGCCGACCAGCACTACCACCTACTACCACCGATAACCACTCACCACTACCACCACCACTAACCACCACCACTACCCCCCCACACTACCAATATCCACCTACCACTACTCACCACCTACTACCAAACCACCCAATACCACCCCTACTAACTACCACTACCCCACCACTACTACCCAACCACACCACTACCACCACCACTACCACCATCACTACCACCACCCACAACCACTACCCACTACCACCTGACCACTACCACCACCACTAACCACCATCCACGACCACCCCCACCACTACCACTACCAACCAACCACCACAAACCACCACCACTACCACACCACTACCACCACCACCATCACTACCACCACCAACTACCAACACCACACACCACTACCAACCACGCACACCCACCACCACTACCACCACCACTACCACCGACCACTAACACCCCCACCACTACCACTACCACCACCACTACCACCACCACTTCCGTTTCCACCACCACTACCCCAACCACTAACCACTACCAATCCACCCATATTCTACCACCTACCACTAACCACTACCACACGACCACTACCACCACCACTACCTACTAACACCATACCATACTACCGCGACCACCACCACTACCACTACCAACCACCGACTACCACCACCACTACCATACCAGCACCACTACCAACGCACCACCACCACTCACTACCACGACCACTACCACCACCACTAACCGACCAGCCTTACTACCAGCCACCACTACCACTACCACCATCACTACCACCACCACCACTACACCACACTAACCACCACCACTACTACCAACCACTACCACTACTACCACACCACTACCAACCACCACCACCAACTACACTACCACCAACTCTACCAACCACCTACTCACCACCACCGCTACCACCACCACTACCAC